TTCCCCGGGGGTGCCCCGAGGGTGTCCTGGGGGTGCCCCGGGGTTGCCCCGTGGGTGTCCCGGGGGTGCCCTGGGGTTGTCCCGGGGGTGCCCCGGGGTTGCCCGTGGGGTGCCCCGGGGGTCTTCTGGGGGGTGTCCCGGGGGTGCGCAGGGGGTGCCATGGTGGTGCCCCGGGGGCGCCCCGGGGGAGCCCCGCGGGTTCCCTTGGGGTGCCATGGGGGTGCCCCGGGGGTTCCCCGGGGGGTGCCCCGGGGTTACCCCGTGGGTGCGCCGGGGGTGCGCCGGGGGTGCACCGGGTGTGCCCCGGGGGAGACCCGGGGGTGCCCTGGGGGTGCCCCGGGGGTCTCCCGGGGTTGCCCGGGGGGTGCCCCGGGGGTGTCCCACGGTTGCCCCGGGGGTACCCCCGGGGGGTGCCCCGGGGATGCCCCGGGGGTGTCCCTGGGGTGCCTCGGCGGTGCCCCGAGGGTGTCCCGGGGGTGCGCAGGGGGTGCCGCGGGGGTTCCCCCGTGGGTTCCCCGGGGGTGTTCCGGGGATGCCCTGGGGTGCCCCGGGGGTGCCTCGGCGGTGCCCCAGGGGTGCCCTGTGATGTGAACATCAGGGATGCAAGAAATACTCCTCAAAGTCGAGCCGGAAGGGAGCCAACTAGTCTTACACGTCCATTGAGCCATTCCGAGAGAGAGCCAATTAGTCTTACACGTCCATTGAGCCATTGCATGGCCAACTTGCATGCTAATCAAGGATACACGTGCAAGGGGGAATTTCAAGAAGTTGGGCATGTTTTCCAGCCCGGGATAAAGACAAATTGCGGATTAAGACTTGCCTTTATCATAATCCTATCTTTTTAAGTTTAAGTTTCAATTGAAACATTTATATTGCATTATAGGCATTTTTAAGGAAGGAGTTAGGTTCAAATTCGGATTCCTTCCCTAAGAGATTATCTTTAGGCGTTTAGAAGGAAGGAGTTGGAGTCAAATTCAGATAGATTATCTTTAGGCGTTTAGAAGGAAGGAGTTGGAGTCAAATTCGGATTCCTTCCCTAGGCTTGCGTTTATCTTGTTTTTAGGTTTATTTTGTTTTAGGCTTCTATCTTATTAAGGATGGAATATGACTTTTCAATTTTTAAACCTTTTCAGCTTATACTCGGCTATTTAAGGCTGAAAAACGAACGTTAAAAAAAAATTTGATGTTTATTCACCTAATTAATGTGTTTTACAATGTTAGGTGTGTGGTGGTATGAGCAAATTCTAGACCCATCATTCAAATAAAATTAATTCAGGCCTTTTTCATTCTATTGGTGGGCCGCAGAATTTTTACAATGACGAAAAAGATGGGGTGTGATAACATCAATAGTCTCTTTTTTATTAAACAAAACATTAGCAAAAAAAATTCATGTTTTTTGAACAATGCATTAAAAAAAAGTACTTGTGACAATACTGGAAGAGGCAAGGAAATTTGGTGGGAATAGTGTTCACCAGTGAGTTAAAGATTGATTAAAGGTGAAAGTTTGAGTCGTCCAAAAGGAGATGATCGGTCCAACTTGACCTTAAAGCCTGACAAACCTAGGTCTGATTTATAATTTTGTAAGGTATTTTTTAAAAAAGAAAATTTAAAAGAAATCGTAACTGGCCCAAATAAACTTTTTGACTTAAAACCTCAACCCAGCCCGCACCTAATGTTAATTTTACTTTTAAAATTCATTATTATTATTTCTCATATCGTTCATGATTCAAAAGTGACCTCTTAGTGATCTAAAAAAAAAAAAACACTTAACTAACTGTAGAAGTACATTGGTTTTTATGAAATGTGCATTTTTTCATGCGGATAATTCTATGTTTTTTATCAAACACAATGGTACTTAGAATTTTGTTAAAAACCAAAAACGTTCTAAAATGCTTCTATAGAACTTCAAAGTGTGTAAGAGAGAAGCCAAAATAATCCTAGTAAACATTTTCTTGAACCGTTTTGTATTCATTTAGAATCAATTTTCTATTTGATACAGTGTGCTTAACTGAGGAGCAAAAAGCATGCCATTTATTCTCAAGAACCAGCTGCAACCTTGTACAAACTGGTAAATGGGCTTTCACAATTTCAATGTTGGAACTTTTCAAATGGTAAAATTGAGTTGAAGGTTACTGCACCATTCCATCTCTTATCAATTCTTCCAACCCTCTCTTCAGCCTCTCCGCAGCCTCTTTGCATTGGTCTTCCACCAAGCCTCCGAAGGAAATCCTCAAGTTCCCAGGGCAACCAGAGGCGGATCCAGGGATAAGAACAATTCCATGCCGGTTAGCAAGCCAACGGACAACTTCATAGTCATCGGGGTACTTGTCCGGAAGCTTTGCCCACAAGTATATTGCACCTTCACCTCCTTTCACCTCTTCTTTCCCCAGGGGAGAGAGAGCTTCCAATATGATTTCTTTGTTCTTGACAAGATCTTTCACTTGTTCCGTCACCCATTCGGGTCCCACTTTAAGGGAGTGGAGGGCAAGGTGCTGTGAAATTATTGAAGCACAGATGGGAATGTTGTCTTGCACTTTGAGTAGCTGAGCTGCAAATCCCTCTACTTCCGATGGGTATGCTATCTGTGCAGTTAATTGTTAAAGAACATTGATAAGAAAGATCAAATCCAGCATATGCATATGCGAAAGATGTTCTTTTTTTTTTTATATATTTCTATGGACGATGGATCCATACTTGAGGTATCATATAGAAAAGCAAATAGTTGATCGAAAGTGAAGCTAAAAAGTTTTTCTTACATATCCAACTCGCCATCCCATCATTCCATAAGCTTTCGAGAACGAAAAAATGTTGACTACGTGATTTCCCTCCAAACATGTGTGTTTTAAATTATCATACATGAAATACCTGCAACAGAAATTTGTAAGATGCATATTGTATTTTATTTTCATAGTTCATAGGAATCTTCTAAAAGGCATTAAACTTACTCGTATGTATTATCCACAACAAGCCATGATCCAGCGGTTTTACATAGGTCTGATATCCTCTGTTCATGTAGATAAGCAAGGTCATAAGAAAAAAATATTAACAATAAACATAAAAGAATAAAAAAAAAATAATCAGGTGTTTCATGAGATATCAAACGAGACTGATTTTCTTCTCTTGATCAATGCAACAAAAATATTTTCCAAGATTGTGAGAGAGAGACCTTGAGAAGAGGCTCTGGGATATATGTTCCACTGGGGTTCCCAGGATTAACAACAGTAACAAGCTTTGGCGCTGGTTTAGTTTCCAACAATGTCCTTTCTAACCAATCTGAAAACCAACAAAGTGGTAATTAATTATCTAAATTCTAAAAAAAAAAAAATATTAAGAAAAAGCAACGATGTCATAGGTAGTTTCTGCCACAGTTAATTGACAAGATGAAGGTTTCCAACCTGCATCTGGATGAAGCGTCTTCGAGTCACCTGGACCGACTAGTATATTGGTGACACCAGTCATCTGGAAAGACATGTAGGCATTGAAGTAGTATGGTGCAAACATAACCACAGAATCCCCGGCGTCACATAATGTAAGAACAAGGTTCACAAATGCCTGCACAGGAATTGTTGCTAAGTTACTCCAGATTTCTACTAATAATCGATATGTTAAGGTCGGAAGATCCACAGTTCATCTCAAACACACCGTAAAACTTACTCATGTATTAGTCTTATATAAACTACACAACAAAAGCAATCATGTACGAGTTCTGAAGTAGAGTGTTTGAACCAAAACATTGCTGAGATTACAGTCTTATATTTCGTCCTGTCTTTATAACAAATAAATGTAAAAGGTCACACACCTGATTTGCACCAGCAGTAACCATCACCGAAGATTTGGATAACTTATTTTCTTGACGCAACTGCAAGGCAAGAGGGAGAATAAGTTTGCAGATAACTATCGAGAAGTTTAAACTTCACGATGAATGGTCATACTGTTTCGTCCAGAAAAGTATATTAAACGGCAGCACGAGGTAATCAACCAGACAATCAGAATATTTATCGGAAAAAGAAAGAGAGATGATCTGAAACAAGTTTAGACTAGCAGTTGGAGGAAACAACATGTGAATAGTAAGAGAGAGGGAGTTTGGCTTGAATCTTTCCCTCGTTGTTTGGCCAAATCATAGAGTATCAAACCCTCTCAAATGACTGATCCCTTCTCCAGCATCACCGAAAACTCAACAGTGCAACATCAAACACCCAAACCTTTCAGCTAAGACCTTATACTAAATACTTACGTTGGCCACCATTCACAGCCTGCTGATTGCTGAACTTATTTTAACTTTGCCTTGTTAACAATCCAGACTATTCATCATACCTTTCGAACGGCAGGTCCCCAAATGTAAGAACCAAGAATACCAAAATAGTCGGTCCCAAGGGCCAGGAAGATCCTTGAAACCCGATGTTCTGATTTGAACCGAAGAACAAATGGACCCATTGCCAACAGAAAAGGTCTTACTCCTTATCCAAATAATTAGTATCTAAACTAACCTCCTAATGATAATCATTAATTAAGAGCCTTATTACATAGAGGTTATGTCAAGCCCAGCAACTCGCAACATATTTGAACATAGGTCGAAAAATTTTAACTCCAGAAAATTTAATACACATGTGGTAGGCCAATATAGCCATCGAGGTAACCCAACCAACCGAGTCAAACACATAGCTAAGTTTCAGATCTTACAAGGAACCAACCAAAGAGATTAGATAATTCCTCAGACCATGGAACATACAATACGCAGCAACAAACAGAAATATCCAAGTATTTTAGCCAGAAACATCCGTAGTGCTTCGCCATATTATACAAGAAATCACAGGATTTTTACGTGGATCATATAATATGTCAAAACTCCAGGACTCCGTATAAGATTTACCTTGTTTAACAGTGCTGCCCTGAGTTCAGGAAGACCTTCATCGGCACCGTACTTACTAATTGAAGGTTCCCACACTAGTTCTTTAACCTTATCCAATGCCTCTTTGGGTGGTTGCCAGTAAACAACTCCCTGTGGGACATTTCGATCAAAAAGTCAACACAAGTTGCTCCAAGATACATCAAAACCACAAAAATCAACCACAGAAAAAAAAAATGTAAAATCAGTGAACACATCCAGTTTCAAAGTGAAAACTGTACATTCTGATGCAACCCTCTCCCCTTTTCCAACCAATTTGGTAGAACAAAGTCAAATTTTGTGAAATAATAAGTAAATGCATCCTCCATGGCCGTAAGTTCAGTCAACTCAGCAAAAGTGGCCTCAGTTTAACAGTTAGGACAGTGATTTCATATATGTTGCGTGGTTCAGTTACTAAGAAGGTACTTTTTCAAAAGAAAAATGCAAAGCAGTACACTAGGTATATTAACAGAACGAAACTTCAGTGAACAATCCATCTTCACCAATTTCTTCTGTTTATTAAGCAAGACAAGTTATTGCTAGTGTGTGTGTGTGTGTGGAGGTCTCAAACTGCTTAGTTGCCAAGGATGTATTTTCTGCATCGTTTCTAGTTTTCTTCCAAAAGGAAAAGGAAAACCGACCACCAAGGCGGGTCAGACAACGTGCCTAAACTCCTTAGGGAAGGGACAAATCCAATTATCTCAAATTTCAAAAACGCTTGACCCCAAGACCAACTATAACGATTAGGCATCGGAAAACAACAAAAACTGACCATTGCTTCTCATTTCTTCATTAGCAAAACTAGAAACTAAAAAACAAAGATGACAAACAGAAAGACATTGGAAACAGAACCTGGGCCAAGGACATAGCATTTTTGGCTCCCCGGATCAGTTCTTGAATCTGCAAAACAAAAAACAAAAACACACACTTTGAAATACTAAAAACTGCACGAATTCATCGGAAACATGCAAATTGGAGCTAATAGAAAGTAACCCAGTTTGTGTTTTGGCCTGCATAACAATAATAGAAATAATATTACCTTAACCATAATCGGCATCTCGGTCTCCAAAGCCCTCCTCGCAAGCATTCCGTACGAACCCATCTCGTTTTCACCCAACACCAATCAAACCAACCAACCCCCAAGCCTCAGGAGAGAACTACTCTCGTGTTAATTTATATACATATATATATATATATGTGTATATATTTTATATATATATATATATATATGCCGAATTCTGATCCACCTACCCCAAAATTCTAAAAATTCCACAAAACGTTAAAAATTTAGTAGTAGATGACTATTGAAGATTAGGTGGTGGGAGGCGTAAAAGATTCTGCAGATTCTGAAACTTGAACAGTGGTTAACAAAACAAAACAAAGTGGGTGACCTTAGTGCTGAAACTTTGGACGGGTCGTCTGCGACCGCCCGAAAAGTCTGAGTTTTTACCCGAATCCGAGCCCGAGCCGCCCAAGAAATTTGAGCCGCCCGCCCGAGCCCGAATTTCATCTTAAACGGGCCGCGGGCTTGTATTAGGCGGCCCGAGCCCGCCCGAATTGCCCGCAAGAAAAAAAGAGTACAATCATATTGTGACGAATTACAAATTTTACAAACTTACAAAGTTATACAATTACAAATACAATGTCAAAGGTAAATACATATTTACAAATTACAAATTTACAATTTAATTTAAAGCTAAAGGATCGTCTTCAAAATTAAATGTTAATCGATTAAATTCATCGATCCATTATTGGCTTGCCGGTGAAATTGTATCTTGTAAATGTTGATCGGACCGATCCCAATCCTTAATGCAAACCAAGACTTCAACATTGAGTGACTGGTCTTTTAAAATAGAGATCATCAAATAGCGATGAAGTTATTAAACCAAACCAATCATTGAGTGACTTTTGATAAATTATCAATTTACTTTGGTATGCAAGTAGAAAGTTACTTTGATATAGAGTCACAAAGAGAGTGAAGAAAGTTGAAGAAAAAAAGAGGATAATTAAAAGGATGAGGAGAGATTGTGAACAGAAAAATAGATAAAGATAGAAAGAATAGTGATATAGAATAGAAAAACACGAGTATCTATAAGAACAAAACCGGCATTATATAGAAACAACACTTTTTAAAAATAAAAAATAATAAAAACGTGATGGCAATGTGTTTCTTTCCTTGTGTATATTATTTTTTGAGGAATCCTTTTATTATGTAATTGATTATAAAAAAGGGTCAAGAATGTGAAAATTGAAATATTAAACTGCTAAAATAGGAATTTGCTCTTTCTATTAAGGAATTGTGTGTTTACCTTAATTAAAAGGTTAAAAATTTAAATAACAAATAAGGGCATTGGGTCTAGTGGTATGATTTTTGTTTTGGGTGTGAGAGGTCCCGAGTTCGATTCTTGGAATGCCCCAATTTGTAACAACTAATATTTTCGGGTTGTTTTGGGCAACTCGGGCTTCAGGCAAAATTTGGGTTTTCTGGCTTATTTTCGGGTCGGGCAATTCGGGCGGGTCGAACATGGTCGGAAAATTCAAAAAAATTCCGGCAGACGGCGGTATAAGGCGGTTAGACGGCGGCGGGCAAGAGAGTCAGTGTCAAATCCTGAACCCAAAAATCTAGTTTGGGCAGGCGGGAGATGGGCTTGCCCGCCCGAGCCTGAAAAAATTCGGGCTTCGGGCAGCCCGCCGACCCGAACTTCCAACACTGAGTGACCTATTAAAAATACTTTTTTTTTCTCAAATGTTAAAAAGTACTTTGTTAGTAAGATATAAATTTTTTATTTTAACTGTGACGTCATAATCCTGTTAAATTAATAGGATAATGTAACAGTATTTTTTTTTCCAATGGTTGTGTCCTTACGATATTATTGTCCTTTTTCATACTTCACCAAGTTCTACGAGTTTCTGATACTGCTGATTTTTTTTTTTAAATTTTTGGGGTCCGTTTCTTTCTGACTTTGTTTTGTCCCTATTACGCTCCAAAACGTTGACGAGCGTTTGATTATTAGGCCACCACACCGATCGATTCACATAAATTTAGAGCCCGTTTAGTTCGTTAATTTGAGTTTTTAATTCGAATTGATATGTGATTTTATGTGAGAGTTTTTTACTGTAGCAAAAAAGTTAAATGTGACTGTTTCTGAGAGCTTTTTACTGTAGCAAAACTCGAATTCTAAACTCAAATACGTGAAGTGAACGGGGCTTAAGGCTTAGTTTGGTAGTGCTGTGGATTTTAAAAAAAGTGCTTTTAGCTGTGCTGAAGGAAGAAACAGCTGTTCTAAGAAACAGCTGAGTGTTTGGTAAACTATAATTATAGTAGCTGTGCTGGTTTCAAAATCAGTATAATAACGTTTGGTAAATTTAAGGTGGAATTACTGTGGATATGTAAAATGATCAAAATAGACATGATATGAAACTTAAATATATATAATTATTTTTTGTATTTAAAAATACTTGTTTAACTTTAAAAACACATAATGTTATGATTTTGAATTTTTTAACAATAAATTTATGATAATTAATTTTTTTTTTTCATTTCTTCATTCACAATATAATTACAACTAAAAAGAGCATTAATGAGTAAGCAATTTGTTGAACAAAAATGTACATTTCATGTTCAAAAAACTGACAGAGTCATTAAAAAAATTAAGTCGTGTTCATTAAACTTGTCGCAATTTGATCTCGTACTTCAACCATTTCTTGTGATAGTGAAGCTTTATCTTTTTCTACATTGTCTTCCAGTTGATGCTCTTCATAAACGAAAACATCTAGATTATCCTCGATTTCTTGAAAATGTCGATCACGCTTATCATGCATCCTAATATAGTTATGAAGCGTCATTGTTGCAATAAATATTTTTACTTGCTTCTTAAATGAAACAAACATGATATGCAAAGTTGTGCAAAAAAATGAAAACTTTGTAGAGCTCAAGACGTTATATTTGTAAGTATTTGAACAATCAACTTTTTTATATAGGCAAACAAACTAGTTCACTGGCAGCTTCATCAAATGTGATTGGTTGTAAATTTTGGCTAGCTGGCAAAACCGAACAAATTTTGAGATGCACCGGTGCACTCCCTGATACCTGTCTCCCAACAAATCTTTTTTTCTTTTTGAATGCAACAATCTTATATAATTTATTAAGAAGAAGACGAGAAGACGCTGCTCTACGAGAATGTTGAATAGACACATTTATGCTTTTATTTCCCCTGGATGCATGTTAAGAAGTTGATGTTTATGGAATTACTTAGTTTCCCAGAAAATGAAAAAATAATTTTTTCCTGGCCGTTGGTCTTTTGGGGTCTTCATCCGACGGTTGGGGGGTCTTCATTCCCGACTCTTTAAATACTCTCCATGGACCCGAGGATCATTTTTTCCTTCTTCAAAACTTCAAAAAACTTTTTGCCGCTGCTTTGCCGAGACATCCGTACTTTTGCCGGAACCCTGCTTGCTGAACTTCCGCCTTCGTCCTTCCCGTTCTCCGAGGTGTACTACGAAACCGTCCCGGGTTTACTTCTTCACCGGTAAGTTCCTGGATCCTTTCTCTCTTTGCGTACTCGCGGGGTTTCCCCCGTTGTGTACCAGGAATATGTAAACATATATGCAGAAAACGAGAATAAACATTTAGTTAAAGAGACTTTACTTTGTTGTATTCTGTCGTACTGGATGACCTGGCTTTTATATGCGCGCATTTTTTGTCTGTTTGTCTTTGGTTTCTGGGTTCTGGGGAACCCGCGGTTCCTATGAACACTCGTCGTTACCATTCTTGTATGAATGGTCGACCCTAACCAGTCGTCGCTTAGAGTAGTCGCCATTTATTCCTCTCGACGTTAGGGTTTTAACTTAGCTTTTTGTCCTTGTTATTACCAGAACAATGTCCCAAAGTTCACCCAGTCGAGAGGATTCTCTTTCTGTCGTCTGTTCTGACCCCCCTTCGGTGGTAGAGATCTCATGGACCTCTTTGTCTTCCGGTGTCAGCTCTGTGCTTAGGGATATCGAGGATGTCGAGGGAAGTTTTGAGCCGGGCGATGATTTCGGAAGTGAATTCGGTAGCGTCGACCGAATGATAGATGAGGTGGTCGAGCGGATCCCTTTTACGGGGGGGAGCATAAGTGGAGTAACCGCTGTGACGGTGGATGCCCCCCTGGCTGCCACGAGCGGAGACCCAGATAGGCCCTCCTTTACAGCCGATGATATGGCGTCGAAGGTCCGAAATAAGGATATCATTCGGGCTGTGAAGGAGGGATGCATTGACAGGAGGTGGTTCGAGTACCTCCTCCCGGATAAGCATTTTAGAACCAGCATGCCGCCGACCGGATACCTTCCGGTCTACACAAGAGCGGTAACTGCAGGGATGACTCTCCCAATTCATCCCTTTTTTAAAAGATTATTGTCATTTTTACGGCATCTCTCCTGCCCAATTAGCGCCGAACTTCTGGTACTGCTTTGCGGGAGCCTGGATTCTATGGAACCAGAAGTTCGACATGGAACTCCCTCTGGACGAGTTCCGATTTATGTACAAGTTGTGCCGCGTTGCCAAGTGCGATGGGTGGTACTTTCTGAGCGGCCATGGGAAGGCTCAGCCTAGGTTTGGGAAGCTTATTCTGGGCATCCCCTCGTCGTCACATGGGTGGAAGCCCATGTTTTTCATGATTCGTGAACCCTTTAACTTCCATCCCAACGACCACCAGCCCCGCCGAAGGCTGGTGCATGCGGCGTTTGGAAATATGAGTACAAGTGGAAAACTAGTTTCTGACGTTTCTGACGTTTTAATTCAAAAAATTACCCCATGAGTTTTTATCTTTTTAACAGTTTTGAACCCTGATAATAAAATTGATGAATGATATTTGAAATTTAAAATAAATAATTACATTCTTATTGCTAAACAACTCAAGATTTTTACATAAATAATTAAAGTACAAGTGGAAAACTATTGAAGCTTTTGCACATTATATAATTGCTGAGAGAGAACATTTTGCACGTATATGATTATTTTGGTCAAAATTCAAACTCACACTTGACGAATATATGATTATTTCGTTAACTTTACTGTCAAATGATCAAAAAATGTCAAAAATCAATGTTTTATGGAGTAATTTTCAAATTTAAAAGTTCATGAATCAAAGTGTCATTGTGCCAAAAGCCACTAACAACACCAATAACTCAATATATTAAAAAACCTAACAGAAACGAACAAGTACCTTGAATTTCGACTCTGAGAGGCTGTTAACGCATCGCAAAGTCAAAAATAATTAAATTAGTGAGTGCCATAACCAAAAAGAAGAAGAGCTATAAGAAATCTCAATTGATTCACATTCCTAAGAGAAAAAAGTTTTCTTTCCGGCAGAAATCAGAATGAAAGTTTAGCATCTGAAGACTTTGGCTAGTTCAAATTACTCCCAACATTAACACCAGATCTCATAGAACCAACGGATTACTCCGTTTGGTAGCCAGAAGCATAATGGAGGACAAAAGTGATTTCCCGACAACCAAACATAGCACGAACAATTCAAACTATCGCGCTAAGATTCAACGAAATTGGTCGAATAACGAGAAATTCGTATCAAATCAGAGCGGATTTCATCCAAATCTAAGGCATACTTATACACGATAACGTTCTTGAGGACTAACACAGGTCGTCGACTCACCATTTTTGCAGATTACTGAAGCTCGGTGGAGAGCAATCCACGAAATCCAGGCGATTTAGGTGATCCGACCTTCAGAGAAGGAGGGCGTGAGAGAGAGAGAGAGAGAGGTTTTTGGTGCGTTTTAATACATAGAAGAGAGATCTCCATGAGAGGGACTCAGTGGTACCTTGCCGTTAGGTAATGGTTTTACGAAACTATCCCTAGATCGGAGGTTGATGAATATTGAGATGTGATCCGATGGACGGCATGAATAATGTGCACTAACGACAATGGTCCGTGGATCTCGGTCTAGACTTGTTTTCCACATTAAACTACAATTAACGATAGTAAAAAGAAATGGCCATTGAATTGTAAACGATATGTCGTTTAGGAGACAAATGACAGCAAAATAGGAGTAGCACACGTCACTTTTACGGAAAAAGAAAATAGATAAACATAAAAACCATACGACCGGACACTTTTGGATAGCCCTTTTTTTTTTTTTTTTAAATAGTATGCCGTTTAAGTAAAATTGACACAGAATGTAGGAGGAAACATATAAAAAAGATAAGCAAAAGACAGAAAAGGATAGGCCATATGGAATATAAACCACAGAATAAATTAAAAATAAATGTTTTAAATTCCACTTTTTTCATAACATGACATGTCGTTTACTATGGCAACGACAATAGAAATTTGAAGAAAACGACATGTTTTCTCCTGAAACGTGAAGAAAAACGACGTATGGTTTCTTTTGAAAAGAAGGAATCGAATAAAAAGGGTGCAACTCTTGAAGATAAACGACATATCATTTATTGAAAAGTTAATAACACGTTGTCCTCTCTAACAAACGAAATAAACGTCAGAAAAAGTAAAGAATGCGACCATATGTACGACGTTAAAGTAGGATTGAGTGTAAATTTCAGGGACCATTTTTCGAATTAACCCTAAAGAAAAACATGATCATGTTGCTTACTTGCTTACGCGAATAAACGACGCCAATTTTATATAAGATAACTAGCGTATCATTTTCTTAAACAAACGACGGCAGACTCCTTTGGTGCACAAGAAACGACAAATGGTTTACACGACCTCAATGACATCAAACTTTTAAGTCATCGGGCAAACGACATCCCTTTGTATTGTTTTAGTTAAAACAGAAGTTTGAGTAGCTTTGTGTGAAACCACCGCAATGGCCTAAGACCTTCTGGTCCAGTGGTATTGGGGGGTTTGAGTGGGGTGGGATTTAGGTGGGGGATTGCCGATTACGATTTTAATTTCGTGTTGTATAAAAAAAAAAAAAAAAACCATGGCAATGATTTTTTTTTTCTTTTAATTACTCTTTAATCTGGCTTGAGAAGATTTAAATGGACAAAGAGTGAAAAAATGGAAAGGGGAGAGGGGAAAAAAATTGAAATTTTAGGTTTGTAAATGACAAGCTTTGCCCTCTTTTACTAAGCCGTCATGTGTTGTGAGAACTGGAATTGTAATTTCCAAATTTAAAGCTAATTACGAAAATTAAAAAAATTAACATACAATTACAATAATTCAGGGAGTGTTTATGATTTTTTTTTTTTTTGAAAAATAAAGGAGACAAATGCTAAAACCAATCCAGCCATAATATTATTTACCAAAAAACAAGAATTACTAATTATCACTAAACCATAAAGGAACCTTCAACCCTAACATTTGAAACGACGTGTCATTTGATGTTCATGTTGTTTTCCCTGACTATAGGTGACATGTCGTTTATGTTGGAAATAAAGTATTTGTTTTTGTTTTTGTTTCTTTCAAGTTATAATATATATATATATATTTGTTTTTTTTGCTTTCAATTTATTGTTTGTTTCTCAATCTTTATTTTTTCTTAGCCAATGCCTACATTCCGGCCATTCTCGTTTTCTTTGTCGGAGTTGTCTAAATACATTTTCATGTTTATTGATCATTGTTCTTTTCATGCCTAGTTGCTATTATTTATTCTTGTCGCTTTTCTTGTTGCTATTATTTATCTGTGGCCTTTCTTTATCGTATCATTTCATTCCAAAAGTTCTTGTTGCTTTTAAAGTCCTTTTAACTTTTCTCAACCTTGATCGCCTTGCAATCTATAATTGTTATTTGTTATTCACTGTCGTTTTTCTTCAGTCAAAAAATATCATCGTCGCTTTTATACTATTTTCGTTCGTTATAAGTTGTGATTTTTTTTAATTAATTTCGTTTTTAGTTTGCTGTTTCTTTTTCATTGTCAGTGCTATTATAATTTATAAGGCATTGTTCTCTATTTGGTTGTTGCTTTTTTCCAAATCATGTCGTTTCCTAGCAATTTATCGTTGGCTTTCTCAAAATACCGTTCTTTTTGGGATATGTTTTGTTTTTTGTTTTCATTTCCGTTTTTAAAACTTTCATTAAAGAAACGCGATTTATAGACAGTTTTCATTTTCGTGCCTCAAAAGACATGCAGAAACGTTTTCGAAAACAATTCTAAACTTACCCGTAGTTTTGTCGTTTTAGAAAACTTATTGTTTATTTTCCGTTGTTGTTTCTATTTTATTTTCCTTTCATCAACTGTCGTAGTTTCAATATCTTATCCTTTCCTATCCATATCGTTTCTCTTTCATTGTCGTTAATAAGAAATTCCCGTTTCAGTGAATTCGTCGTTTCTTTTCCATTGTTGCTTTTGTTATTAGTTGTCGTTTTGTACTGCATGGTAGTTACTCAATATATTGTCGTTTGGTGTCGTTTCCTAACCATTGCCATTTTTAAAAATACAATTGTCGTATATATCTTAAGTTCGTTTATCTGTACCATGAATAGAACAGCAGTTCATGACATTCGGGAATTGAATAAGAAAAACAGGCTTGAAATTTTTTTTTTTTTTTTTCTATTGTGGTGTAATTTGAAGTTAAAAGCCATCTCTAATTTATAGGTCCCAATTTGCAAAGAGTGAAGCACTAGCATGATGCTGTTGGCCACAAGAAAATCACATAACGCGTATCTTTATTTTAATGATGCCATGAGATAAGATTTTTAATTAGAGTTTTTACCTGCTTTAGTAATTTGTCTCTTAAACTTTTAATTTTGACAATTAATCTTCCAAACTTATATAAATATTGTAATTAGGCACATTACTAAAAGAGAGATGGAATTAGACATGTGAGATAGAGTTTTTAAGGGGCATTTTTGAAAAGTAAAAAGTAAAAATTCCGCACGTGAATTTATTCATAAAAGAGCGCACATATTACACTAGAGAAGTACATAACTTATTCTGGTGACCATTACAAAATTGTACCTCATCAGATTTGAAACAAATCAAATCAGACATATTTGCTTATATTAGCCACCAGAACTTGTTAAATATAATAAGTTTTTACATATGTCACAACAACAATAACTACAACAACTAGAAAAAGTAATATTAGGTGAACTAATTTATTCCTTCAGTACCGACAATAGTAGCAGTAGAAGCAGCAGCTATCTTCATTCCCTAAGAGAATCTCTAACTATCAGAAACATTTATTTTCACCACGACAATTCCATTGTCACAACCAAATACAACCCTGTAAGGAGAAGTATATTATCAGAAACTTAAAAGTAAACATGAGAAAGAAAAATGAATTTTTGTTGGCTAAAGTTTCACAATAAAACTTACTGTTGTGATCCTTTGATGTATCCAATGGCCCAAACTCTTCCAAGATCATAGTTTAATGTGTTCTCCAGCCTGTGAATTAACGAGGATTTTGGTAAAACAAAATTACACGACAATAAGAGTAAGAATAAATTATAGAATTAAATTTTAGTTGCATGCGTAGTTCAGCGGTAATTTCACCCGACTCTACCTTAGGTTCACTTTCAAGTTAAAAAAAACAAAAAAGTAGCGGAATAAAAAGACTCACGAATATGTAGTGGCATGCCATATGCGGACAGTTCCATCCTCTGAACCTGTAATGGCTATGGGAAGTTCCGGATGAACACAAACAGCCGTCACATTATGCAAATGACCTTCAAGTGTTTGAACACAGCTTTTTGTTTGATAGTCCCATACCTATTTTCACAAGATTTTTATCAGTGAATGAGTTCACATTATTTTGAAAAAACAAAAAAGCCTATCCTGCAATTGCTTAGACACAAAGTCTAAATAGATAAATTAAAGATAGTTGTAAAACCTTAACAGTAAAATCATCAGAGCCGCTTAATAGATATAGTTTATCTTCAGCACTGAAATAATCGACGCAATTCACTCCTTTCAAATGGCGTTCGAGTGTAAAACTTGGAGCAGATGAGCCAATGTTCCATATCTATATAGCAATTTGTAGACATTACCAAAGTAAAAATCATGTCAAAGCACTACATATGAAACAAAAGCTTAAAATACTAAAACTAACAAAGTTAGGTTATACCATAACGGTTCCATCAAGCGATGCACTAGCAAAATTATGTGTGTCTTTAGGATCGAGTGCCACTTGCATCACGTAATGGGAATGCCCCTCGAAGATCCGAGTACAAGTCCAACCATTTTCCCAGTCCCACAGCTTTATGGTCTTGTCGTCAGATGCCGAAAGCAGATATGGAAGAGTTGGATGGACGGCCAGAGACCTAATGAAGTCCTTGTGTGCTTCAAACTCTATGATCTTTTCTGTTGTGTCATAGTTGTAGACGCGAATAAACGAGTCGTCGGCCGCAGTCACAATCCAGTTCTTTTGTGCTATGAACTTCGCCGATCTCACTGCAAGCACACCAATAGCAAAATGGTTTCCTCTTTTTAGAGCCATCAAATTGAAGAAATTATAAGGAGATGTTTTTGAAAATGTGTATAGATAATGTACCTGGTGACTCTGTGACTTTGATAGACTTCTCTATTGTCTGAAACAATTTAATGACCAAGTTAGCAAATATGCAATTAATGAAAGATTTCTCACAAATAAACAAGATAACAAAATAAAGTTGTATAGATAATTAGTTATGAGATGAGTTATTACCTGAGACTGGTAGTTCCAAATACAAACAGTTCCAGAGTATAAACTTGCAAGAATCTGCATAAAAAGCCATTAACAAACATCATAATTAATTCAACAATGACATTGTAGATAAAATTCTCTGTAGAATTGCCATGGAGAGATTTATAATTACCATGGGTGAGTTGGGGTGTAGATCCAATGATTTCACTCTTTCAGAATTTTGAGAAAATTCTTTCTGATTCAGAAATTAGTAAGAGGATTAGCTTGGGATCAAGACATTTGAAAATTTTATTTTTCTTGATTAAAAGAGCAACAAAACTATAATGTAGAATATAGTTGTACATGTACCTCGATTTTCAGTGACAGCGACTGCTCATCAAGATTATATGCAAGAAAAAGTAACCGGAACAAATTTGTTAGTCCGAAATAAATCTCACAATTGAAAAATAAATAATTTCTATTATAAACTGAATCACGTGCTTCTCTCATCTCAATATTTTGTTTAATTATAGGCGGCGGCGGAGCAGCATTGAATTGAGCGCTCGCACTCGCACAAAAATTTTCAAAATTTTAGATATATTCCTATTTTGCAAGAAACGTTATAACTGTGTCTCTATTGGATAGTTAAATTATTTTGGTGTGCTTCCATTATACACGAAAAATTATAACTGTGCAATAACAAAAATATATCCCTTTAATAAAACATTATCTCAAATTTTTTTTGTAGTATCCCAATAAAAAAAAATTCTAATTCCGCCACTGATTGTAGGCAGTGATCCCAATATATATTTTTTACAAGGTCTCATGAGGACTGTAAATAAAAAAAAATTCTGAAAAAAAAAGATTAAAGTGAGAGAATGTAGGAAAGTACACAAGAAGAGTAGCTTACCATTTCGGTTTATTGGTGTGGATAATATGATGTTTCAACTTTTTCTCAACAAAATCAGTGCTCAGAAAAGCTTGTAATCAACGGAGAAAATACGAATAAGTAGATGTTTGAGGCTAAAACCCTTATCATATGCATATATATACTGCACAAAGCTTCGCAGTTAAGTAATTATGTTCATGGCATCTAGTTTCCATGGTTCATTAACTCATGAATTGACTCCATATTGCCTAAGACTTTTCCCTATGTTGTCATCCGATCTTCTCACACCGTCCATTCATTTGATGATAAATAATGAACGGTGGAGATGATCGATCGAGTAGGTGCGGGGATTGTTCCAAGAAGGTGGTGAAAAAATGAGTTATTTATCCAATATTATAATTGGGACGTTGGTTTAAGTTTCAAAACGCGTCAAGACTTTTCCTCTTGCATTGTTGATGTACGTTTCAACGAATCAAAACATAAGACCAAGAAGAAAGAAAAGCAAAGAAAAATTATTGGATGGACGATATTTTTTCCCTTAAATTAGAAGAAGCATGTCGTTTTAATACACGTGATTTACAAAGGACCAAAGACTGTCATTGTCCGCAACATGCTTAGGGTTGGCAATCAGAATAGTGACACTACTCGAAACTCGCATGAAGTTAACGGGTTTGAGTTTATTATAAATAAGTTTTGGTCATAATCGGGTTGACACGATTAACACAATTAATAAGTAGATTGGGTTATGGTTGATATCCTAACACGAATTGATACAATTAACTATATATGTCATCTGCAATCTAATGATATGTAATATAACATGAAAGTTTATATGATATATTAAATACAAATAATGTGAATTTTAATGTGTGTAAGTAAAATTCATTTATTTTTCTTAAAGAAAAAGATAAATCGACCAATAAATATGCTAAACATGTCTTGACCGTATTAAATAAGTCATATTATATTAGTTATGTATTCAATATATTAATTTAAACATGTTACACGGGTTGACACGATTAAGACAATTAATAAATGAGTTGTGTTTTGGTTGATATTTTTGACACCTTTAATAAACAAATCGTGTTTGATTTGATGTTTTCTGATACAATTAATAAACGGATTGACACAAACACAACCCGCTAACACGAATTGCTACTCTTACATGCATGAATATGGCAAATTTATTTTACTTCCAAGCTTGTATTATTTGAAAATCATAAGCCTCAACATTTATTCATTTCAACAATTACACTTTTTTTCCCGAAATGGAGAATAACACTTTGTGGGTTAACGTCATAGGTACGTATACAACTTGTCGTTTTGTTCATAATAGCTTATAATGAAAACGTTCACAGCAATATGATAAAAAAAGAAGAAAAAAAAAAACCGTTGAATTAGAAACTTACATCACTCAATCGAAGGTGTTGAATTTTTTTTTTGTTTTTTTTCTGACGTGAATATGTGTAGGTTTTGGGGGGTTGGTTATTTATGGCAGGTTTGTTTGGGTCTCTCTCCTTTTTTGTTTTTTTTTTTTTAAGAATGCTTCCTTTTTTTTTTACCAAAAAAAAAAATTTGAATATGGCATTAAAGCAAATAATGAACCATTTGACCTTCATATTTGAAAAGGAAACATGTAAATTAGAATATTTTGTCTCAAGATTTTTGTCATTATATTTCCATTTTTAAATATCCCTTATTTTTAATAAGGTTTGAGACCCCTTAAAAAAACCCAATATGAAACTCCATATTTTCACCGTTAGATTACTTTTTTAACGGTTAGACCTGCACATTAAGTAATTCTGTGTGACTCGCTGTATATTTTTAATACAAACCTGTACAAATTTAACTGTTGAAAAGTTAATCCAACGATTAAAACAAAATGTTCTGTCAATAAATGTTTTTAAGGGGTATCACCATAAAAGTTCCCTTTCAATAATATATAAGGTTAGAAAGGTCTTTATTGATTGCCTTTCAGAGTATATGGTTTTTAAGTAAATGATATATATTTTTAAACTTAAAGTCAATTAAATAAAATAGTAGACATTTTTAAAACTCAAGCTCTTATATTTACGGCTTGTTTGGTTGGGGGATTCGTACCCCGAATCGAATTATGGTTCACGGTTCGTTACAGTATTTTTTCTCACAAAAAATACACGTAAATCGAAAATGGTTCTAGTCTCATGATTTTAATCCATGAACCAAACGTCTCCTTAGACATTCGGTCCTTTTAGTGAGCCTTCAATAAATGGTTTGGGTCATGTCATGCGCATTTATTATTTATTATTTATGGTATCAAGCTCGACCTTAAAACGTGGTGATGTTTATAAATTGTGGCTCATTTATTTATACATCTTGCCTTAACATGCTCGTAACTTAATCGTAGTTTTATTGTAACTAGTACATAATTCATAAAATAAACAACAAAAATAAGCATTGATAGAAGAAAAATATTTATTCTTAACACTTTGCCTCTTAAATTTTAAAAAGTAACATCCGTTCCCTCCGAGTTTTATTCCGTTAACAAGTTTTACCATTTTGTTACAATGAGTGATGAAATTGCCACGTGTCACTTATTTAATGAGAATTGAAAGTGCAATTACACTTATACCATCGTAATTAGATAATTCTCCATTTTTGAAATTATATATAATTATTTCCTCTTTTCATTTTTATTTTTATTTTTATTTTTTGCTTTCATTATTATTATTACGTCGAAAAAAATGGAAGATCGTGAGATCTTCTCCACCTTCAAGGAGTATGCCTCTCCTGAATATAAAGTAGCTACACACATGAATATTATACACAAACCAATCATACAAACCCAAAAAACTAATGTCTTAACCTTTATGAAAAAATCATATGATTAAAGAACAAATGAAATACTCGAATATTCTGCCTCATTTTCCCGCAATTTCTCACCAACCAAATAAAAAAGAGGAGAGATGATAGAGAGAGAGAAAACGAACCAGGCCACATTAGGCTAATCTTAGAGAACCAGCCGGGAATGATGACAGAGATAGAGTTGGGGGATTTGGCGGTAGCGGCAGCATCCATGGGAACGCCATTTGTAGAGCCAGCAATGAACTCTTTGTCCATGGATTTCGTTTCGTTTCTCTGTCAAAACTTAAGCTTTGGAAATGGGAGGTTCTGATCTTGGTTTTGATATATGGGAGATTGGTATCCATGTTAAAATGGGTTTTTTTAACGCATTTGAGTTTTTTTTAATTACTTTTTTAATAACCTAGGGCTGTTGCAGGTTAATTTATGATATTATCCTCCTCATATGGGTCATGTACCTGACACGTGATGATTTTCGTCACTCATTGTAATAGAAGGTTAAAATTTATTAACGGAACAAAATTTGAGGGAACATATGTTACTTTTTAAAATTCGGAAGGTAAAGTATTAAAAAATCATAATTTAGGAGAAATTTTTAAAATTAATCCGTCACTTGAATGTGTAAACTAAACGAGCCTTACAAATCCATTGTTCAAGCGGTTCGACATTTGACGTGCTAATAATAACGATATGTTATCAATATTATAGCAAAAATACAAAAAAAAATACAAAAAAAAATATTATGTTTCTTTTTTTTTTCTTCAAATCCCATATGCTCTTTTTAATTTATTTATTTTTAAATAGCCACTATACCAAACTACTCACGGCGCCATTAGACGCTGCATGTTGTTTCACTCGAGGAACAAAATTATGAACGACAACAGACAACCTATAAACTGTCGCCTTTACTAATTCATAAAGCAGTTTCTCCTTTGTCTAGTATCATACTATCAACGAAAAATGACATGTCGTGTTGATTTACGTATACAAAGCAAAATTTTTATCATACGTGATAAATATTTTATAGGATAGAAAGCAAAGTTTTTAAGATACATGGTGTTGTAAGGCAAAATCCACTTTGCCACGTCAGACAATAAATAGTCGTCACGTGACCCCTACCATGCCATGTCAGACAGCAAATAGGCGTAGACGGTCAAAGGATCAACTTTTAAACATGGGTGCCGTTGGTGACGAGAGAAGGGTCGACCGCCCTAAGGCCTTCGAAAATAATTCTTGAAGAAACACTCAAGAACAACAAGTTTGTAAGGAGCAACATCCGCGATAACGGTCGACCGATCAAACAGTCGAATCGAAGATGGTTCTGAAGCTACGTAGACCGCCGATGGTATGCAAGGACCAACAAGGATGAAGGCTCTATCTTGCCACTCGGCCCAGCGAAAGCGGAGAGAGTAGTGTGTTCAGTCATCTAACACAGATCCCGAGAATATCCCATGAGGGGACAGGAAGGAAATCCCTAGACCACTTGCGGGCTTGAACAAAGTTAGTGGCCAAAAAAATGATTACTAGCCTATTAGCCGCCTAAAACAGACCAATGGGAAGTCACAAAGCCGCAATAGTGGACAAAGTTGGTAGATGAACAGTCGAAAAAGGTATTGAATAGCTACAATCTTAGCTGAGTAGGATGATAGGCTACTTGAGAGAAACTGATGGGTAACCTTTTGTCTCGATTTTCTCCAAAATATAATCTGTGAGATATAAAAGGGGCAAGGTTCTAGGGAGAGAAAAGATGTCATTTGAGAGAACGGAGCCCATTGTAATCAAAAGAGAAAGAAGAAAGCAAGAAAATTCTAAAAGTGGACGTAGCTCTTGCATTAAGTGTGAACCACTATAATTTTTGGTGTTCTTTTTCATTTTCTTACGTTACATTCGTATTCTGAGTATCCATAAAATCCATACACGACTAGTTGCACTTTTATAATTGAAATTAACCGGATATCAAGTCGTTATTCACACGCGATTTAGCCGGTAATCTGGCCGGTTACTAAGTGGGAACCTGATGTATTCTTGTTGACGAAAAATCACCGTCAACACGTGGCATTGTTTTCCACATTAAATAAATGACGGCAAGACTAACTCAACAAGGGGGGGAACATTTATTATAAAAAAAAAAGAAAAAAAAAAGGATGTAATTTATGAAATAAAGAACAAACGCCATCTCGTTTTTCCTAATAAAATTATATTAAACTTTACTTTCGAAATCATTTTTTTGACGTATCAACAAATATCTTTCATACTTCATACTTCAAACTTCTTTACTTTTGTTTTCTTTTTTATTGTTTATTTATGTTTTGAAATGTGAAATATACAAATGTATAGAGGCAAAATAAAAAAATAAAAAAAA